CTGACTTCCAGTGGTCCATCATGGTGGCTTCCTTGCTGGCAATGACTTTGACAAGCTCAGCTGTATAGGGGTCTCATGTAATGGGCCTTGAAAGCTTTTATTATGCCCTGATTGAGAGGCTGGATAAGAGATGTATTTGGGGGCATGAAAAGAATTTCTATGTTGGGGTGGGCATTTTCAAGTTCTTCATGGCAATGAACTGGAGCATTATCCAAAATTAACAAAACCCTGAACGCAAGGCTTTTGCCCTGGAGCATTCAACTTCTGGAATGAAGCGGCCATGGAACCAATCCCAGAATATCTCAGACACCATCCATGCTTTTTGTTCCACCTCCAATGACCAGGCATACAGTTGAGGTTTTTCCCTCTAAGTGTGGGGGTTTCAGGTTCTATACACCATTAGGGGCTTGCACTTAAAAGTCGCCCTTGGTGTTGGTGCACAAGATAAGGTTACATGGTCTTTGAAAGCTTTAAAGCTAGGAGCTTTGAAGCCATCTGCATTACATAGATTTGTCTGCAGTCATTCTTGTAAAACAAACTTGTTTCACCTGCACTGAAAACCTGCTTTTCAACATAACCCTTTTCATGTATAACATTTAACAGGTATCTTTAAAATTCTTCTTCAGCTATCTGGTCTGTAGAATCATCTTCTACTGAAAATTTAAAAATTTTCATGCTGTATTGTCTTCTGAAACGTGCAAGCCAGTCTGCACTGGCTGAGAAGCATTTAATGTGCCCGACTCTGGCTTGCATGACTGTAAATTTCTTTCGCTTTCAGCCTCAGCACAGTGCCATCCACTATGCTTTTTTTATTGGTCATCATCTCATGGGTCCACAAATTTAGCTGCTTTTCCATTGCATCATCACACACTGTAGATGTTACTCTAGTACTTTCTGGAGTATCGTTGTGCATGGACCGGTGGATCTCCTCTTCTTTTTGCTGTACATACCATATTGTGGACTTGGTTAAACTCGGCCAGCAGCACTGTAACTCATGCCTGAGCAAAGCTTGTCTTAACACATGAATCTTTTCTGTAAGACACATCACAATCTTCTTGTGCTTAGGAACACTAGATAGCACTTTTGCACGATGTTTGAAGGCCATTTAAAACGGCAAAATCATCATTAAAAGTACAAAAGTTAAAAAAAAAAAAGACACTAAATAGCCAGAGAGGATATCTATTTATAGTTTGAGAAGAAAGCAGAGCAAGGCCTTGTTCAGTGCCCCCTGGGGATGTTTACAGAGTGACTGAAGAGTTTTACTGCTTCACACTTGTCAATACAGGACTGGGAGTGTGCCAGAGTATTTATTTTGGGATTACACATACATTTTAGAAAGAAGGCGAATTTACAAATATAGGTTCAATACATGACTTATTTGTATAGGTCTCTTGTGAAAAAAGATAATGTGACTGCAACTTTTAAGTGTAAAAATAGAGTTAATTAGGACACTAATTCTCTGAGGCAAGTACAATGGGATTGAGTTAAAGGATTAAAGAATTTGTGCCTGAGTTTTAAAGAGTTTGTTCAAAAATTTTTTAGCTGGAGGACAACTAGTAAATCTATTGTATTTGGATTACATTGGATACGTCTTTTAAAAAAGGATATAACAACTTAAAGTGCTACTAACAGAATGCCAGAAATGACACCCTTTGCAACCATTTAAAATTATGGCAAGAACCTTTAGATATTAATATGTAGTGCATAATTTAAAAAAATTTAGGACGGAGAGGAGCAAAATGGACTAGGAGGCAGCTTTGGTTTTGCTCTTCTACTTTTAAGTTTCACTGAAAACACACACACACACATCTGTTCAATTTGAAGGGAAACATGTCCACACTTCCCCCTAAGAATTTTTCATTTGTATGCGGAAAAACTTCATTTCTCTTGGCACCTCTGAACACCTTGGTTTTGATTTGTAATTTGAAAGACCCAAACCACAGTAGTCCTGAGAGCAGTTTGATGCAGTGCCCTGGCCTCTCCTTACAGGACAGGACAAAAATAGCCTCGAGTGTGCTCAGTGCTAGAATTCTAAGTGATGATTTAGTGTAAATGCCAACACTTAATTCTTCTTAGGCAGTGTAGAACAGAATTTTTCTTCTTTACCAGGTAAAATACTCCTTAGACTTCAAAACGAGGTGTTCATGAAGTCTCAAGGCTTCTTAGACCATGGCAGGCACTGCCTGTCTTCTCGGTTTCCTGTCTCACCGCCCAGGCCCAGGCAGTCCTGGCACCTCCATGCAGTCCCTTCGGCCGGCTGCTGGCTGTGACCAACTATTCCGGTTAACTGTTCATCAAGCACGTGGCCTGTATCTGGAAAAAGAAAACAGTGCATCTTAATCCCCACACGCACAATTTACGTCGTCAGTTCTCTCATGTTACAGCATTAGAATAAAAACTGCACCCTCCATGCACCTAGGTGAGAATGAACGGAAGTCCTCTCCATCCCTTCCGAGATCCTTGAACCGCCGAGCCCGAGTTCTTTGGGATGCCTCTGGCCGGGCTGAGTCCGCTCGGGCGAAGACTAGGCCCGGGCGCGGGAGGAGAAGAAAGGGCGGTCGGGCGGAGAACCTGGTCCCAGCGGACAGTGTCCGCGGACCGGGACCACTGCCGACCGGAAGGGGGGCGGGCCTAGACGTCACTTCCGGCGCCGGGCCCACTTCCGGGTGCGGGAAGGGTCCTAGATTGGTGCATCCCGGAGGAAGGAAAAGGGTGAGGAGAGGCGGCGGGCGGGCGGAGGGGTTG